AATCTAAAAATGATAATTCAATACAAAAACATATTTTTAACTAAACACTAACATTTTTTATTCGTCCTTCGACAATTTTATATGGCTCTTCATCGTGATTAACTTGTCGAGCTTCTTTAAGCCAAGTTTGTTTTGACCGTAAAATATGAATATTATCTCGAGAATAAATCGGTTCTTCCTAAAAATAAAAATTTTTTGTTTACTATATATGAAATGTACTAAGTAGTTTGGTTTGAAAATACATTAAAACATTCTTAATGTGAATTACGAAACAATAGAGTATTTGATATATTTTAACTGGTCAATATGACCTGGTTCTTAAACAAATGCCATTTTGCTACGACACTTATCAGACTAATCGTTGCAGGTGTATGAATATCAGTGTGAGTAGAAACCTTGTATGTATCCTAATGCACATCTCTATTCTCCACTTTCGATGTGCATTCGAGATACTTTAAGTCTAACATGTAGGAATGCAATAAATCTAGAATAGATTTTAGACCAAAGACTTTGAGATTTCATTTGATTTGATAATCTTTATTAAAACGTAAATTATTTATATGATTTCTGTTCAAGAACAAAGCTCAATACGAATACTAGAGATCTAATATCAAATGTGAAAAACTTTTTTTGATTGTGATATACTTCTAGTCAACTAGATCGTTGTTGATGTTATCTTATCTGACTAAATCCTTTGAGATTTAGGTCATTTGAGACCAAATCCAAAATAAATAATACAAAATCTTAAGGCTTTGAATTTGTTGCACTCCTACTAATATGTCATGCAACGACAGCATACATCTTATTTCCAGCTGTGTTCATCATTATAATGAATAAGACTAAGAAGTATTAAACATTAAAGCAAATGTCCTATTGTCAGAGATGTGTAGTGTTGATGTCAATACTGAAAAACTGATAAAAATGATACCATTGGCACTCAAGTCCATAGGAACACCGAATTACTGGTACTAATGTTCACGTACTGTTTAGTAGTGAAAGACTAAGACACTGAATCTAGAAGAGTCTTTTTTGTTTTTTATACTTTTAATTTCCACTAGCTACGTAAAAAAATGGAATGAACACTTCTATGCTTAAGAATATTTTGAAAATCAACATCATTCAGAATTTTGGACGACCGTACAAATTTATCTATCTATACATTATAATCAGTAAACCATCACTATTGTCTTTGTATCCTTTGTATTAACTATATATTGTACATAAATGAAGTTCGTAGTCAATACCAGCAGTCTAATTTATGTTATTTTTGACTCTTGCAACGAGGACTGATTGTCTCTGATGACTCTTTTAAAGTGAAATATCTAAAATATCTATTCATTTTTTCCTTTATAAATCAATCTCATGTGCTGATCATGATTATTGAGATCTTACGTCTATGAATATAGAAATATTCTCAAACGTCTTGAAGAGAACTAAAAGATGATAACTTAAGAATAAATTCATTTTCTTACTTTAAACCATCCAATTGGTTGTGTATCATTTGGATAAATTCCTTCAAATTTAAGTAATTTAGATTTTAATACATATAATGGATGTCCATTTAATTCTGATTTTGATTGTGGAATTGGTTGTCGAGCTAATTGATCTTTTTTAAAACAAAAATATATAAATAGATTAAGTTAAAATAATTAACAAACTTTCAATTTGTTTATTTTCAACTTCCGAATATATTGATTTTTTTTTATCTTTTGGTTGATATTTTTTCATAAATTTTTTATACCATTTTGGATCACCATTTGTTTTATGTTCTATATTTGATGTACGATATGATGTTGTTAACCATTTTTGTGAATATCGTTTTGTTACATCTTTAGCATATAAACTAGATAAATCCGTATCAAATGCCCATACATAAAGCATTGGAAATTTAATATTAACTTCAAATTCGGTTACGGAATTTATTTTTGATGTATAAATATCAATTGGAATATAACCATCATCTATTGTTTCAATAAAAAGTTCAATCCAATAATATCGAGGTTTTAAAGAACGTGTTTTTATTTTAGATTTTAATTCTTTAGAAGTTTTTGTTGTTGGTTCTGGTGAAATAGCTTGATCATTTTTAATTATTTCTGATGAACTTGAAGAAACAACACGAGATAAATCAGATGAATGATCATGTGAATGAAGAGGTAATATATCTTCATTCATAGTACTATTACTATTATCATCATCGGATATAGTTGGTTGTTTTTTCTTAATATTTTTTTTAAGACTACCATGTGGTATATGAAGTTTTTCATCTTTTTCTTGTCGTGGTCGAATTGGTGGTAAATCAGCAGCAAATACTAATCGACATTCATATTGAAGAAGACGAACATATATAGCAAAAAGAATAACTCTTATAGATGATAATGTATTGGTAAGATGATCACTCATAGCTTGACGTAATTTTTCCATTGTTATTGGTTGATTTTCTCGTATATCATTTGATGGTTTATCAATAAGAATAAAAATTTCATTAAAATATTTAACAAGACGATGTATATCATTCATATTTGTTGTTTTACTATTATAAATAAGTGTTTTTGTTATTGATTCATCAAGTAATGAAAACATAAGTGAACGTAATTCTTGATTATTTATATATGTTTTTGTTAAATGAAAACCATGACCAAGATTACAAACAATATGATGTTTATGTTTTTGTAAAAAATTTTTTTTTAATACACGTTTTAATTGAAGTTCTAATTGATGTTCTTTAGAATTTAGATTTTTCTTTCGTTTACCTTGAGCTGCGGCAACTTCATCACTAGTTAAATTTACTTCAACTTCATCATTTATTGTAGTTGATTGTCTTTCTTCACGTTCTTTAAGTAACTATAAAAGTATAATTTTTATTATGAAAATTGAAATTAATATTTATTATTTAATACTTTTTGAATAGCAACTTCTTCATTAGGCTTTGAATGAATATTTTCCCATGCATCATCATCATCATCATCATCGGAATCGGTATCATTCTCAACACTTGCTGTTGTTGCTAATTGAGAAATTCTATTAATTTATACTTGATCTTAATTTGACTTACTTTTTATTGGTAGATTAGTAGTATCAGTAGATATTGTTGTATTTTCATCGGTACTTTGATTATTTGTTGTTTCAATCTTTTTTTTGCTTTTTGATTTAGGAGCAGTTTTTTTTGTTCTTGACTTTTTTTTAAAATATGGTGACGTTTTTGTAGTTGTTGTTGATGATTTTTTCTTTTGTCGTTTTTTTGGTGTAATTGTTTCTTGTTCATCATAATCGTCCGTTGACAAGCGCTTAGTTGATGCTCTTGATTGAGTTGATTTTGCTGTAATAAATACTTGTTCGTCTTCTTCATCTTCAAGATTTTGATCTATGGTTGTTATAGGTTTACGTATTCGTGATGATTTTCTTAGACCACTCATAATTAAATTAATAATAAAAATAAAGCAAAAGTTTCGTGAAAAAAAAATTTATTACATAATAACTTTTACTATTGGAGTTTAGATGATTCAGTAATCGAGAAGTTTGAATGGGAGTCGCTAGACGTCGATTTTTCTTATATTTCTATCGTACAAAATTTTCTTCATGAAGTCATTTAGAACATTCTTGAATCAAATTGTATCAAATATCAAATTTTTTATTCGGAATTAAAAGAAACAATGATAAATTATACGAAAAGAACACATTTTTTATAAAAAAAAAAACAAAGAATTTCCTAGAAAAATTAAAGAAAAATATAACATATATATAAACCATGAAGTTATGAGTTTCTTATTATAGATAATAGAACATATTTTCTTTCATCATAAAAATGATAGTCAAAATGAACTGAACTTTTTTTTTTGTCTTAATTTTCTGCTTCGATACTTAACTGAGCATCAACTAAAGACTTGTTCAGCGCATGATACAAAAAAGATACAGTTAATGTAATTACAATACAAAGCTGTTGCAACATGCCAGTTGAATGAGTACCTCAAAGTCTTTGCATTAAAATACCTGATAATTACTTAACAGAATCCTAATGTACTTAAATATTTGTAATATATCGAACACGCTTGTAACGGAGTATCCTGAACTCAGTATGTTGAATACTGCAGGTCTTTGTTTGTGGCAGCATCACAGGAGGCTGAGCCTTCGGATAATGTTTTTTGACAGACGACCCGATAGGAATATTGAAGTATGCGAGTAGAAATTTGAACCCTTTCACTTCTTGCAGACATACTTAGCAACATCTCTCCTTCGTCACAGACCGTGGCAAATGCCTTAGCAACGCTTCCCTCCCACCCTGTGCCACAGACTGTGACAGATCTTGTTAATATAAGATCATAGGCTGTATATCAGTAACGTCTCATTATCATGTATAAATTACTTCCTTATTACATTTCTGTAGAATTAAGTAAAACGATGGTAAAAAATTGTCTCCTACAATAGATAGAATAAAACTATTTTCTTCTAATGAGCAATAGTAACTTCATCGAGTTTCATATTTTAATTCTACTTGAGGTCTGAAAGAGACTCAGTTTCTTCCACCCCTTGACCTAAAATCCTAGCACTACTGCCATTTTTCGAATTTTATATAACAGCGAATCCGTCGTAACTCATGTTGGTACTAACGAAAGAAGTGCCTAACAATTATAATGAATGATATCATATGATGCTTTTTTTTCAAATGTATGTCGAAATTCGTCCAAGATCAATATTAAAATTTTGTCAAACACATTCTATTTTCTTATTATGAAAAGAACTAATCGAAAATAGCTAATGCTACTCTAAATACGTCTCATAAAACGTTTTTTCAAATTATAATTGATACTCTGAACTCGTCATGTGTTTAGAAAATTAGAAGGGAATTTAGTTCTGTTTTTTAAAAGAAAGTTCATAACCTCATAAGTTTTAAACAAAAAGAACAAAATAACATATTTATACATCTCAGGTAATGGACGGCAAAAATATTGTTCGAAAGAAAGATTTTTCATTGCCGATATAACAAAATATAGATCAATGACCGCTTATTCTGGTTCTTCACCGGGCCTATTAGAATGTTCTTCTACCACAGCATCTAGTATCCGTTGTCGATCTTTTTTAATCTTTTCCAAATATTTCGATAACTCATCTCTATTTCTAATTAAATTTGGTATAAGATGTGCTTCATTTGTAACCATGCAACGAGTTATTTCTTGTTGAAAATGGCATTCACCTTCGATACACATATATCCATGTAAATCGATCACTGAAATGACGCCTTTTATCAATCTTGGAGAAGGAGTAATAACACGTATTTGTTGGAGAAGATCAGTACTAATATTGGGAGTAAATATAGTAACAAGATGAACTGTCTGTAAATCGCTTAAAGTACGAATAAGAGTACGCGTTTGCCCATTTATATCGGATGGTAGACCATCATCAAGAATATTATCTCTTGCTAAATATACATTTATACTATATGGTAATCTTATTTGTGATATAAATTGTAATGCTTCAGCTACATTATTAAAAGCACGTAACCATGTTTGAAATATAGGATTTTGAGCGAAAAAAGGTGCTTGAGACTCGAAAGTTGCATCAATAATTATAAAATATCTATTTTCCATTTATAAATATTTTATAATCTGAAAAAAAAAGGATGAAATCTTTTCAAATAGTATGATAAAGAAAACAACACAAAAGAACAAAAAAAAAGACAAAAACAGTGCAGTTTTTCAATAAATTGTTTATTATTAATTATTTTGTGTTATCATTCAAGGAGATTTTTTTCTTGATTTTGATACTCTTTTATAAGTTTACAGAATTGATCCATCTGTAGAAAATATCGACTGGCTTCACTTTTGTTTTTACATATGTCAATTTGTTCATTAGCTTGTATAAATGAATGAGTTAAATTGTCAGAATAAAGTTGTGCATATAAATCGTTTTCATTATAGAATTTTCCATGAATAATCCTTCGATATTGTATATTAAAAGCATTTTTTGAACAGATATACATATTTTTTATGGAATCAATTTGTTCAAATCGATCGATTATACTATCAATATTAGTATCATCCGATTGAAGAATAAGTATCGCATTACCTATTTTCGATGGTTCACTGATAGATTCAAGGAAATAAATACATGGCTCAGTTTGATAGAAAGTGATAATTGATGATGATGAAAATTTTGTTTTAAATTCTTCTTCAGACTTTTTTTTCGAAGTTGACGATAGAAGAAGTTGAACATAAAAGGTACTTTCGCCTAGAGGAAGAATTAATAAGAACAAATAATAAAAAAAAACTAGGACTTTCAGTTATGCAGCGATTATGGCTTCTTTTTGACTTTGTTTGATCATACCGTTGAAATTGTCTATTGATTAGAGATCCGAATTCTGTCACATGTAACCAGAATCAAACCGAATTGAGTGGTACAAGGTAATTGACATATTCCAATGCAGGAATGCCTCAAGATCACTAAGATTCAGAGGGGGGTCAACTACTGCGACAGTAAAGTTAACGACATTATGGAATATCGAACTATGTGATGGGGATTGATTAACAAACAAAAAGAAGAAAATTGTTCAGATTCATTGGGGAAAAACGAAAATTTTTCAACATTGGAAGAAGATCACCCTTCGACGCCCCCTCCCCTTCATACTTGAGACATCCCTGGTCCGATGAGAGATAAAGCCTCTCTAGAAAATTATAAAGCCGTTCTGCGTGCCGATGTGAGATCTACTACTCTGTAAAAGAAAGAAATGTACCATACAGAACCTGTTCAGTGAGTACCATTTTATGAACCTGTGCAAAGTTCTAGAATTTTGAACTAGAACCTTTTGGCTGAAAAACTTTTGAAAGAAATAGTTCTAGTCGAAAAGTCTGGAATCTTTAAAAAAGTTCATAAAATGGTATCCATTGACAAGGTCCTATCCGGTAAGAATTGTTTTAGAGAGGATAAAGAAGAACTTAATAGAGGTAGAGATCTCTACTTTTTAAAGATTTCTTCTGGTCATGCCAATACTACAGGTATAGATCACATAAAAAGTACGTAGGGTGAAGAAGAAAATGATGTAGTTTTATTGAACATTTTCATTATATATTCACCAGCAACGTCATATATTGAATGAAAGTGTTCTAGTTGGCAAGTTTTTTAGTGCGGAACTCAAGAAACTTTAAAGAATTTCTTTCAACATGAATTAGTCGTAAAACGACATTAATTAATCCATTGGAATTGATCAGATCTTTATGTAAGAGTAAGCTTCTATGTGAATAACTATCAAAAGAGTTGAAAGGAGTTCAAACAACACTTAATAGTTCAAATTTTTGTAACGATTTTCTTCCAAACATCAACTTATGAACGAACAATTTTGTAGCAAGTGAACATCTGAAATATTCCGAATGAGATTGCATAATGAGAACATACTAAAGCTTTCAAAAAACTATTGTCCATATGTGTGTAAACTGCAAGAAGTCAGCTTCTATCATAATTCGTTAGATAGCGCTTTCGATAAGTTAAAAAAATTCCAGTATTATCACAGTAGAAAGAATGCAGATCACTAAAAAGATGTAAGACTACACAGCAGCAAGCGTTCTTATTTTGTGCATAATGTGATTTCTGTCACTTAGCGTTTTTATGGATACCATTCTAAGCTAGTTTCTTGTACAGTTCATTGCAGAGCTCTTTCGAGAGGTTACGAGAGTTTGTTCTTCATAGAAACAGACAAGTGTAATCACTGAATGAAGAGATACAATTTATCTTGATTATAAACAGCTTACAAAATTCACATCATTTTTTATTTCTAAAGAAAGTTGCTCTAAAGTCAAATGAGACATAAATTAGTGCATCAGAATATATCGCCGTTAGCACCTCAGTTATTTGAACTGAATAGGATAATACAGAAATTCGTATCAATTCTGTCACATTGATGCGTTGTCATTTGAAAATTATTTAGTAGAAACCCATAAACTGGATCTGATATGAACCTGTTTATGATGTTCTCCCAGTGATCATAACATAGGGTCTGTGGATCTCACATCACTAAAAGTAGTCATCGAACACAAAAAGGTCGATATATTGTTTGTCCTGATAGAATGAATATTTATTCACATTAATTCATTATTGCTATACTCTTTTTCTAGTGAAAACTGTAAAGGTTGGAATAGATTGCTGCGAATTTAAATAACAGATACCTATATGAGTCTTCTATTGTATAATAAGAGTTAACCCATAAGGCTTTAGGAAGATAAATAGACGTTTATTTTATACTGTACAAAGCATTGTAACGATTTTAGCTGTATAGTCTTAAATGTTTTTAGTGACTCGCATGCTTGCTATTATGATGATTGTAGAGTTTCGTAACTCATCGAGCAAGTTATCTAAAGAACTATGATGGAAGCTGGTCCCTTTCAGGTCACATGTCGACTATACTTTTGAAAGCTTTAGTTTTTCTTCGTTATACAGTCTCAGTCACAGCATGCCAGATGTTGAAGTGTTAGAAAACCATTCGTTAAAAAGTTGACGTTTGTTTGAAAATCGCCGCACAAATCTAAACTATCGAATGCTGTTTGAATCCTTTTCAAGTCTTTCGATATTTATCTAGAGAGTAGCTTAGTGTGACACAAATGTATAATGATGAAAAAGTCCATTGAACCACATCGACTTTTTGTTGGTTTTATGTCTTGTCTAAATCACCTTCATCAAAACACTTGGAAGAAAACTTTCGCTACTAAAAGATTGACCTATTTGAATCTATTATTTTAACAGAATATTTAAGATTTGAAAGCTATAGTGTAGCAACAGCAAATATCATGAATCTCTACAAGTCTTAAAATCTATTTTATTCTTTAGAAAGAAGAATTACACTTTTTGCTCGAAGATTTACGATTTTCTATTTTACATCTTCATTTTATTTAAGAAAATAGAATCTACTGTCTTGTGTAACTTTACTTTTGTTATATATATATATAACTATTAACGAGTTATTTTGAGGTAAAATACTTGTAGAACAATATAAATGATGAAGAACTATATAGTACAAGTAACTTACTTGAAGGACAATAGACGTTGGCTACATTCATACATAACTCTTTAATATGTTCTTTTGATTTCTTATTATTGCTCTGCATTTCATACAATAATTCATAAATAAGATCGTTAAAATGCATGTCATTCTCTTCAAATGAAATCGTTTTTGTTCGTTGATTTCGATCAAGAATAGGTAATCGGCTATCAATAAAAATGACAAAAGATTGAATTCGTTGTATCGATTTTATATAATGATCTAAGTCATCAGTATTTTCGAAGAATTGAACGTCAGCTTCCTCGAGTATAGATTTAATAGGAGAATATTGTTCATTATCTTGAAATAAAGAAGTTAGACCAACAATAGCATAAATTGGATCTATAAAAAAAAATTTTATTTTTTTTACAAAATAATCATTTTTTGATAATGATAAATTTTCTACTTTACCTAAAATTAATTGTTCGGGAAAAATTTGTGAAAAATCATTTGTGGTATATTCTTTTGGTAATTCACTTTCATCGATCATTTTTAGATGTATCACTTGTATGTTATCAATTACAGATAACAAGTCCACTTTTTCTATACGAAATACTGAACCTAATGCAAATAAAACTTCATCTTCTTCCTCATAAGCAGAATAAAAATTAATATTGGCATATGGTCGTGTGTTTTCAATAAGTGGATTGACCTCAAGACTAAATATAACTGGTTTATTCGATGTTATACCTTCAAGTGTCGATCCTCCAGCAAACATAAGCGCAATGTCAAGGGATGATGTCGTAGAGAAAAACGTATTAATTGATATAAGTTTTCCAACGTGTTCTCTCAATTGATCGATTTCAGACGGTGGCATCGATTGTCCTCGATAATATGTTAATATAGTTTGCTGTGAGCTATTATATGAACTAAGCATTTGATTATGGAGTTCCTCTAAATTTTGATATAAATCAGCAATAAAAAATCGATGTTTTATTATTGATCCAATATCTTCACAACGTAATGCTTGGTTTAATAAACGATAAAGAAAAGAATCACGTGTATACCATTGTATAGCTGCATTTGAATGATAATTTTGTTCAAAATCATTTATCTGTTTTAAAAATATATCATTGTCAATTGATACACGACGAAGTTCATCGATCATTTCTTGTTTAGCCTCCAATACACGTGGTAATTTAAGTACGATTTCAATTAAATATCGCTGACGTTTAAATCCGTCTTGATCTGTATCTAAAAATGTTACTGGCAATGGATCTTCATGTGCCTTCAAAAACGAAAACAGAAAAGTTATTTAATACAAACAAAAAAAACGAATGTTTATAAGTACATACTTTCTGTTGATGTTGAAATGGTAATAATTCAATATTTGTTGTTATATCAAAACTAAATTGTTCAAAAAGTGAATCTAAATTTTTATAAATTCCTCGTATTCTTGGAAAAACATTTATCCATCGAGGTGGTCTACCATTTTCATTTGAATATAAATAAGCTACATGAATATTAGATACATGTTCATACGCAAATAATTGTTCAGCTGAATAATACGATGAAATTAAATATATTTTTGGATCATATTGTAATTGTTGACTTAAAATAAAC